CCCGCAGAAAATGGTAGCTCTCTGTGCTCAAACCAACCAATCGGCGGATGCTTAGAGTATACTCAGCATGGGGATAAGAGGGTTCCTGCCATCGAATATGTCTTCTACCCCAGCTATGAGAATTTCTGCGCCTTCAGCTGGACAGGGCCGGATCCGTTATCCCACGACACGTGCGCCGATGATATTTTCCTTTATGTATCCGCGTTTCTGCTTTTTGAGCGGGTGAACTGGATAGAACTCCGACTCAATAAGTTCAGTACGGAGACTGAAGAGGCTGTCGAAGAGTATCCGTTCTTCCTTCCGCGGGTTGAGTCAATGCTGGGCAACTTACGAAGGATACGTGGTCAAATAAGTGACATTCTCTCGCAGCATTCTACTATGGAAAACATATCAAGCGCTGGACAAGCACGGTTTCAGTTAGCTATATGGCCGCGGGTAGAGGTCACAGACAGTTCCACGATGTGGGATTCGGTTCCATTATCTGGCATTCACCCTTCTACGTCCATGCCATTTCTTGATCCACAAGACTTTGTGCAGAATATAGTGGGAAACTGGGAAATCTGAGCATCCTAATTTCGTGGGTCGCCAGTTCTCAGCGTGACGGTTGGGCGTGGTGCTTGAAGGCTTGCCTCAGGATTCTTCGCCTTTGACCCAAGCTTTGCTTGTCAGCGATCCTATAGGGCTTTCCAACACGGTTTCTTTGCCTTTTTTCGTTTGCCTCTAAATGAAACTCGTCACGTCACCGCTGGTGTTCTATCTCGCCGTGAAGGGCGTAGTTTCACCTTTTTGTTCTCCGGGTGTCTGCTTCTGTGGCAATAGTTTATTCGCCTTTGCCAATTCGGATCCAATCAATATAGTGGCTTTCTGTTTCCAGTATTCGCCTCTCGTGTATTTTCGGTCGTCTTAATCTTTGATCCAACCTAAGCAAGGGTTGACTCATCCGTGAACGGAAAATGCCTTTTATTAATGACTTCATCCTCCATATGCCAGCTCTCAACTAGATACCTCGTAATGTGGCTTTTGTCACACTGAGATACATAAGATCTATGGTCTGTGGGATTTCTGAGTCAAATTTCAGACCGTTCATTCAATGAATATTTGACAACAGGTTCAACGGAAATGGAGGAGCTCCAAGACCGACTTGGCTACCACTTCAACTCCACTCCATTGTTAGAAGAGGCTTTGCATCCAGCTGGAACTCGTCCGCTGCAAGGCAACAAGCGTCTGGCACTCGTTGGAGACTCCGTTCTGTCCACTTCACTTCTGGACGAATGGTACGGTAGTGAAAATACCATCGGCACGTTGAACTGTGAAATCGCTAATTTATGATGAGTTCTGACTAGACACAGAAGATGGGGATCACATACTGCGAAAGAATGCTTGCAACAAACATTTGAGCTGCAAAGGTGAGGCGTGTGAGCTGGACGACTTTATAACCGGCCAACCGGCACAAAAGGGTGAGATCACTAATGGCACTCGTGCGACGACGGTGGAAGCCATTCTTGGCGCTGTTTGGATTGATTCAGGAAAGAACATTCATGCTGTCGATCGTGTAAAAGCCAACTTGGGTATCGGTGTGTAATACTGGCTAGTGCGGAAACCTACTGTGATGTTCGATGTCCCTATAATTTTGTGATTTCGTTTAATTCGGAGGCTACTCAGATCGGTAGGCAATGACTTAAAGAAATGCAATGATGGTGTTGTTTTTCCTTCCTATCTCTTCTTTCATTTACTAAGTATCATGGGCAATCCTGGGTTGTTCCACAACCGGTGACAGGTAAATGGGGGCGTGTTATAACATGCGGTGGTTCCATTCACGGCGTAATAGGTCTGCCAAAAGTTGCTACAGGATGCACTGTTGTAGTACAGCTGGTCTTTGTTGGAGTACCAGGAATTGAAGTTACTCGTGACGGATATATCCAATTGCTCCTGCTGTGTCAATGAGCGATTAAGTTGTAGACTGCGAGAAATGTAGGCGTTGGAGATATTTCGTGCCAGAACCGAGTCAGTGAATTGGGTGACACCGAAATCTCCGGTGCAGTTAAGCTGTGTCCAGGCAATGAGTTGAAGTGGAGCAAAAAGCGTCTAAAGCTAGTCAGCGAAGCCGCGAGACGGAATGTTCAATTAACTACGTTGATGGCAGGCTGAACATCAAGTTCAGGTCTTGGCGCAGCCGCTACAGCGGTAGCTATAGCTAGAGTGATCATTGCTGCCAGTATCTTGGATTGCATGATTTACAAACGAGGACATTGTGAAGGCTGGGTTAGGGAACTGACCGCTTTTATTTTGGGAACAGTAATGACGTCAGTGAGGACAATGACCGGTCGGATTGAACAGGGGACCTCAAGTCCCTCAAATAATTGTACCAACCATTTTCCATTGGGCAAAGAAGCTGAGGACCGATAGTGCAGTGGTTCAGTTGATGGAAGATTATATTCAGTTATCCTACATGTTTGGGCGCGTTTGTGGGCCTTAAAAGTTGCGGATTCAACCGGGTTCCCAACCGGCAGTTAAGAAGCAAACCGTTAAGAAGCAAACCGTTATGAAGCAAACCGTTAAGAAGCAAACCATAGTTGAACCGTGTCGTTTGCATACAGTACAGCAATGCGGAAAGACAATTTTCCCTGTTCAATTCCTGGTCAAGATATGCCTTCGCGCCTAACTACCTATGCGTGTGTCCTTCTGGATCCCAAGGACCTAATATGGTTTGGGTTGCGATCAACGATATACCTTGACTTAGGGTGGAAACGCTTCCATGAACTAATGCCAAAGCTCTATATTCTCCCGTATACTTTATAATCAGCGCCACTTAGGGCTCACTTCTTTAAAGCCTTCAGCTAATCTCTCGGCCCAAATAATTATGAATTGGTTTATTGGCACTAAATTGTGGATGGATGCAAGGTATGAGGAGCTCATGATTTACGTGCTTCAAATACTAATAAAATGCTAAGCAATAGAACCAAGAGATCTTTTCGCCCCTCGAAATCTTCTCGAAAAGAAGGCGGTTCAGTGCCTCCTGTGGAGTGTGCTGAATCTACGAGACGAAATGCACACACCAGCCTACCCGAGATCGGCACGCTTCGCTGCCAGCTTTGCCATGGCCGGCGATCGTCTTTCTATCATACCAATCACCTAGAAGATTCATTAATATTCCCTCGAGAAGGAATCTGCTCGCGAAGGCGGACCGGCTGTGCGGCGAACAAGGCCAGGCTCCAAGCTTTCCATGGTGCCCTCCCTGTGATACATGAACTGCCGGCGGAAGATACGATTGCCAATGAGCTGAAAACTCAACCATTGTGTTGAGACCGCCTCAATCGAAGAGGCCTCCACTAGAGGCAGGCGCAGCGAATCCGACACGCGGTGCGCGTAGGCGAATTTGAGTGAAGTGTTGAAACCAACTAGGCTATTAAGGTGCAGAATGACGCTGGTAGGGATTCATGGTTCGGTAACTGTGATAGTAGACTTTCAGTGCCCTTGTGCCAATCTATTTTCTACCCACTTCGAGTGGTTGCTCATCTCGACTTTTCCGGTTTCCGTATCAATTTTTGTGGGCGATGAATACTGTAGCTTACGGTTGTCCACTGGAATTCGTCGTTCTTGGTGAATACGCTTGCCCTCTCCCGCTCCCGAGGCTGTGTGTGTTGGATCCTGGCGGTCAACTGCAGACTCGACGCTGCCGGGCAAATCGTCATTCCCATCCGGTGCAGGGCTCATATCGGGGTCGAGAACGATCAGCTGGAGATTTCTTCCTGCGTGTGGCTGTACAGTCTTCGTCACGGCCTCACTTATTGACGGACCTGCACATACTGCGTAGATTGTTAGCACCGTAACCGTAATATTGCGCTCTTCAGCGCACTGAAGTGGATGGAGGTTGGACTTGGGAAACTCACCCGCTACGGCCATGGCTCCGCGTTGATTGTTGAGATACCGCGCAACTTCCTCCTCGATCTTGATCGAGCCATAAAAGTAGCAAAGCATTGCGTTGTGCTCGTAGGAAAGGTTTTCCTGGGGACTTGATTGAGTACGCGGGCAGTAGATGCTGAACCGCAAAATCTGAAGCACGGTCAGGTCGCAGCGCACAGAATGAGCTGCAGTAGCAGAAAACTCACCTTGAACGATCTCCAGTCGCGATTGAAAAGGTCTTGCATCCATTCATTTACCCATTGTGGATTTTCTGCCAGAACTTCAGCCACCTTTCAGACTCTAAAAAAGTACTAGTCCAAGATAGAAACATACCATCTTTGCCAACTTGTCGCTTCCAGAGAACCTCTAGCTTTCGCACCATTACTTCTCGCTTGCGGCTGGCCTCCACCAACATTTCAATGTATGAAAGCGCTCGGAAAAACCCGATGTCCTCTACCACGAAGAGGATTGTACCGAACCGATAGAAATCGAGAGGGTGTCCGTACGGTCCGAGTATGATGGCCGACTGCTTGACTGGGGATCTCAGTGCTTCGTGGTACAGCTTTCGCGCAAGCCCAGGTTGAGGCTCTGCTACCATACGGACTATTCTTTGAGTTGGTCCATCTTCCCAGAATGCAATATAGAACTGAGGAAGCTGAAAGAAAGCGCGAAAGCCGGCTCGTGGCATCCAAAGCTGCACATACTGGCCAGGGCGGATCGCTCGGTTGAGAGGTAGCTCTATGTCAAGCCAAAGGAAATGGCTTACAGAGTTCATGACTACCTTATTTCGGGACGATCTCCAAGGTTTCTGATCCCATGCGGCCATTGTGCAGACAAGAGCGCTAATGAATATCCACAAGCAGATAGCGCCTACCAGGTACCACCGATACAGTGAGTGTCGCTCCACCAGATGGTATATAAGCGCGCCAATCGCCGTTGCTGCAAGAAGGTAGTGACATTTCATCGCAAATTGTAGGTGTCGCCGTTGGGCCGCCGCACAAGTAACAGGTATCATGAGAACGAGAGCACAACCTGCCTTTATTTGATGAGATGTTGATCTGCGCAATAGGCACACTTAGCCTCGGAGTATGCTTTACTTACGGCTATTGGAATTATGTATCGTGAGTTTGCCAAGTCCATCGTTCTGGCGACAGTAACGAGCAGCGAACAGTGTAACAGAGAATGGAGCACGCAAATGCGACCTACCCAGCGATGGAACCACGCGAGCATCTGGCGGTCCACGTGGAGCAGATCCGCCGGAAGACCAAAGCTGATACCGGTGCACAAAGGCACGAGGTTGATGACTGCCATGGAGCCAGCCCTTTTCTGTGCTTCTGCCCAAGAATGGGCTCGAAGTCGGAGGCCAACAATGTTCCCCGCCAGCATGACAGCCAGGATTAGCGCTTGCCAGTAATTTGAGATGTCCAGCCAACGCATGCATTTTGGCAGGTGGACGAAGGCAAACCGTCTCCAAGGTATTAATATTTTCGACCGGAAAGGGCGACGAAAGAACACATGGCGTCTTGTCCATGCCCAGCGCCACACATCACGTGCAAGCCAATAGATCAAGCAAATTGCTATGATTATGGCCGCTGAGATGGCATACAAGTTAGGGAGAGAGGTGTCAGCAATCCATCGATACCACTTTGACCCGATTGGGGGCATTCTTTTGGCTGTCAGCCTAGAGAGAGGGCCAGTTATTCTTATAGAGACGCATGAGTATTGTGTTATAGTCATTGTTTTTCTATCAATAAAGTTGGCTTTGTGGCCATGGGTGATAAGACAGCTGCGGTTTCTTGCGGCATGTTTCTTGCGGGCTCAAACGACCGATTACGCGGTTTGCCTTCCACGTAATCCCTGTTAGAGCGATCCCCGCAGCAAAATAATCTTTGATCTAACATACAAAATTGGGTATTTTCCTCTCCGGTATATTATCCTGTGACCAGTCATGGCATCATTAATCCTTCTGTATACCTCTTCTTTCTTCATATGCAAGTCTCGCGGGTAACAATGTTGAAAGCTGGTAAGTCTGAATACCTCAGAGTTTGATACAAGATCCGGTCAATCTGAGCTAATCATAGTAGATCTCTAAGGTTGCTTTCCATCGGGCTGCTCTGGGTACTGCAGCCTCTTCTTTGCCAATTCGGACTTCAGTTCGTTGTTCTTGAGCTCTAGGGCGCAATTTTCTCCCTGAAGGATCTTGATATGTTCAAACAAAGACTTATTTTGCTCCTCCAAACTGGCTTTTTCATTTGCGAGAGCCCGCAGCATGTTGCCGTGGTTTTGCAGCATGAGAATTGCCTCTTTGTGTTCATGCTTCATTCTCGACATTTCAGCATATATGCTCGTAATGATGCCCTCAACCCTTTGAGTTGGATGTTGTCTGTCTGAGCCAATGTTAGTGAGGACTGTCATGTCATTTTGACTCCAGCTACTGACCTCGATGAACATTCGATAGTGGGAAGGGGCTCTGCAACACCACTGGTCTTCTCTGCGGTGGCATTTTGGTCTTTTCTGGCCTCGAAGACGTTTGATCACTTCCGTTGATTGAATGGTGGGCTTGAGAGTCTCAATTCTTTGCGGCCATGGCTTCTATTTAACTATTTCCTGAGGGTGTAGCACTTCCCTACAATAGATCCCAGTATCATTTGATATGACATCACATACATTGGATGTAAGGCATTGGCTCCCGGGATCACGACTACTACACTTTGTTTGTCAGCGGCTCCGGAGAAGCGCAGCTCTCCGGCATCTTGAGAAAAAAGTAGCTCCTGGGATCATCCGTGCCTTGTGTCAGGGTTATACACGAGGCATACAGGACAAATGGTAGCTTCCTCGCGTTCAGGGGAATCTAGATGCACTCTGTGGGTCCCGCGCAGATCGTATCGCCATCCGTCCTGTATGTTTCATGCGTATCTCTCACACTGATCAATCAGAATCCCGGGAGCCTGCCGTCCGCAGTCTAGGCAAACTCCAACGTGCAAACACTTATAAGGTCGGAACCCCTCCAAATATAAAGCCTTTTTTCCACTCCCAACAAGAATCTTTTTCTTTTGTTACCCTATCTTCCTCTGCCTCGTTGTGATCATCCGACTTTGTATGAACTTGCGTGTTCAGAATGACCGAACCGATCAATGTGCCCTACACCACTGTGTTGGTTGCAACAAACGCCCGACTGAGCATCATTGCTCTTTCAGACCAAATCAAAACAACTGGAGACAAACCTGAGGCTTTGGCCGACCTCTTGAATCAGTTGGCTTCTCTTGAAACTGTTGTACACCGTCTTTCACTCGCCTCTGGCTACTCCCCGGCCACGGCCAGGGATGACATCGAAGCGCACGTTCATTCACTCCTACTGGACTGCGAAAAGACATGCGACGAGTTTGAAAAGACTTTTCGCGCTTTTATTGACCGCTCGTTGGGTGGAACAACTCGCAAATTGAACCGTGATCGCTTCGGTATTTCTGGAGAATTAGAGGTGCAATTGCTGAGCAAACGGCTAGCACGGTGGAAGGACGTTTTGTCGAGCATCATCGACCCGTTTCTGTATGTGAAAATCATTATTGGGAATATCTCATGGAAGTCAGCTGACAAATTGCAACTCGATTAAGACTTTCTCCTCCGTATCCGTCGGAGAACGTCAGCCAGGAGAGACAAGCCGAGCTCCTAGCCAGGGAGAATGGCATTGTAAATGTGATTGGAGGGTTTGACGAGGATGGGGCAGTGCTTCAGGACAAGCTGGTAGCCCTCAATCGCATCGTTCGTCAAACTGAAGAGCAGGCTACTGAGATCCAGTACTCGCGAGAATTACTTGATAAGCTCCGCTCAGAGGTTCATTTGCTACGGACTGGTCAGCGAATCGAAATCAGAGATAGTCGTCGGTTTAGACTGGGCGTCACTGATTCTCGTCGTGGCAATCATCCCACCCAAAGCATCCACAATGTTCGTGTGTGCGAGAGCTCGCAGGCTGCCATTGGCGTGTTTGACGATTTGGATGTGAACGCTTTCTTTCGGGTGTAAACTTTCCGAATTATCATTTTCATGTGATTATGTTATACTGTACCTCAAGACATATATATACATTGTTTCTCAGTCCGTACCGTAACAACGAGAGACTATATATAGACCCGTCATCAAACAATCTGTTCTATGAAACTTGATACACTCGGCCTCATGCCCCTCACACTTCTCTAACCTGACGCCTATCCTTCAGCAGCGCATGATCGAAATTTCTTGAATGCCTTCATGATATGATACAAAGCTAGTCGCTAACCACTTTTTAAAAAGATGATGCCGCTGAACGTAGCGAGCTAACGGTCAAGAATACCCGTAGGAACCTGCGGCTGTTCGGAAGTCTCCATGTCCCTCCAAATCGTATCGGTCGGAGAGGAAACATAAATCAATTGAGGCTGGACATCTGCTGGAGGCACTCGGTCTCCATATTGATGGAATGGGTGTATTAGATACTGTAGCACGAGTTTCTGGTGCTAGCGATAACTAAGTATTAGGAGCACTCTCGCTTTCAAAGCTTGCTACGACCGAAAGCTCACTGGAAAAGCAAAGTCTTTCAACCTGTGAGTACAGTAGATAAAATACTTATTTAACTATGTAACTAGGGGATTTCTAATAACTATGTAGGGCAACGTTCTTTGCATTGTTTACAGTCCCTTGAGAGTTTGCAAGGTCTAAGTTTGTTTGGCTGGCAGTATATTATATAATCAGGCGGTGTGGGTGGGGGTACAAGAATTTGTCCAGTGAACTGTGAAAGGCGAACTTGTCAGCTACTGTACCACCCCACGAACCATAGTCATAGACTCGCTGTCGTTTAGCGTGCCTTAACATGATGGTGACCAAATCCAGGTGTCATCGTGAGTCCACCTCCAATTTTCCAAACTCGAGTAGCAATCTGTCACGATCTGTACTGTAACCGGCCAATTGGAGATATCAATGACTCTGTATTTCCATCCCCTCTTCTCTTGCTATTTATAAGGCATTTTTTTACATTTGTGGGATCCGGGTCTACTGTATTTCCGAAGCCATTCGGATCATCTATAGACCCGGTTTCCAGGCAGTATTCTTAAGATAATTGCGACACAATCTCATGATCTCCGTACGGCCATGTTCCGCGGCACGGGACAATGGTGTTCGGCCCTCGTTGTCTTTTGAGCCCACCTCCACCTTACTAGTTTGGAGTAGCAGTTTCACGACCTCCACATAGCCAAATTCCGCGGCCCAGGACAATGGTGTTCGGCCCTTGTTGTCTTTTGAGTCCACGTCCACCTCTCTAGTCTGGAGTAGCAGTTTCACGACCTCTACATTTTCATCCTGTGCGGCCCAACATAATGGTGTTAGACCCTCGTTGTCTTTTGAGTCCACCTCCACCTTTCTAGTCTGGAGTAGCAGTTTCACGACTTCCTCAAAGCCAAATTGCGCGGCCCAGGACAATGGTGTTCGACCCTCGTTGTTTTTTGAGTCGACGTCCACCTTTCCAGTCCGAAGTAACAACTGCACTGCCGCCTTAGAACCATTTGACGCGACCCGGGACAATGGCGTCAGACCCTCATAGTCTTTCGAGTCCACATTCACCTTCCCCGTCTCGATTAACAACTTCATCACCGCCTCATGGCTCGACTCTGCAGCCCAGGATAATGGTGTTAGACCGTCGACGTCTTCTGAGTCCAGTTCCACCTTCCTAGTCTCGAGTAGCAATCGCATGACCTCCGTACGGCCATGTTCCGCGGCTCGGGACAATGGTGTTCGACCTTCGTAGTCTTTTGAGTCCACGTGAACGTTTCCAGTCCGAAGTAACAGCTGCACTGCCACCTTGTAACCACTTGAAGCGGCCCAAGACAATGGCGTTCGCCCCTCGGAGTCCTTCAAATCAAGATTTACCTTCCCTGTCTTGAGTAATAACCTCACTATCGCCTCATGACGACTCAATGCGGCCCAGCATAGTAGTCCCCGGCCGCCGGGATCTGTCCATCCAGTTTCAGCCCCTGCTTGAATTGACATTCGAGCTGTATTCTCATTTCCATGAAAAGTAGCCCATACCAGTGCAGGTCTCGGGGTGCAAGAGTTGATGCGATAGAGGTACGAATTGAGAAGAAAATAAAGTCGCTTGTTGGTCCGACATAATGAGTTGATATCTTGTTCTGTCTCCAGGGATGCTATCATTAGGAGTAATTCCGAGGACAGGTCGAGTAGCGACATGATAAAGTATGACCAAGTGAGGCCGAGTAGATGGTGTAATCAGATCGTTGTCGACGAATTTAGGATTGATTCTGTAGCTGGTGCCCGAACAACTTCAAGAAAATTGATACAAGGAAAGTTGAGATAGGCGCGACCGAGAATATCCCGCTGAGGTGGAAGTGGCTAGATTTATATCATATCCATCCTTTCACGTGGTTTTGAATAACGCAATTCCTAGGAGTTTTGCTGTCCAGCCTATGAAGGTTCAAAGACCCATCGAGGGTGGTTCATCGGAAGGTCAACTGCTCCTTGGGCCATGACTTAGCAAACGATTCCCGGGCTCCTGGGAACATCTTGGCACGACCTAATTCGGATTTATGGATAATCCGCTTAGATATCTCTAAGCGAGTGACGCACCCCACCCGCACTTACTTGATTCAATCACCCACCATGCCACCAGTTCGTTCTCAATCCTCTCGAAATTCAACAGAGCAAGAGGGTAGGATACCATTACAGTAGCGAACTCTACCGTCTTCGATGACGCAAACTATATTTGCGTGGAAGCTTCTAGGAGTTCCAGTTTCTAATATTAGGCTCTTGTATCTGTCTTATAATTGATGAAAAGAAACGGGTATTATTACGGGTATGGACAAAACGTGTCGGCTTTTTGGTCCTTTATGTGTTGAACTCATAAGGCGGCCCCCGCAAGACTAGAAGGGCAATCACCGGTGTTATTTGTGATCATCAAATGGGTGCGTTAACGAGAACGTTTGTGACGAGATTGATGATAAGTACGAGAACATCGAACACGGGCAGAGTGTTGGTGCCGAGAATTTTGGTGAGAGGAGAGCATCGAAGGGAACGTCGGTGACGAGAGGAATGTTGAAGAGCAGAGAGTTGAAGAACAGAGCGTTGAAAAGCGTTCAGGAACGTTGAAAACAGGAGGCCCTTATAATCGATATCAAATTTAATTGTTCCTTGGGATCGTTGAAGCCTTGGAATTAGTTCCCAACTGCGGCGTTTGTGATATATTTGGTGCGGTGACACTGTCGATGAATGTACAGTAGACTAGGGCATTGGATATTTCGTTGAGCATATACCTAACAGAACAAGATACTTACGAAGTAATTTGTCAGTGACTAAAAGCCACCACAAAAGCATTACATTGGAGAGGCCGATGAAGTTCTGAACCATGTATCGCTCCTCTAATTTCCAGTGCCGCTGGTTCTTGACTAAACTAAGTATAACAAAAGACTCATTCGGTGTTGTGAAGGCTTCTAAGGTAACTCAGATCTAAAATTGGCGCATGTCCCTTCCACCTAGTATTCGAAATAATTGGTATGCAGACCCAATTTTCTGGTAGCCGAGGGATGCTCTGCACGGAATATTAGCACATACGTTGAGGATCGGAGAAAACGGCTCTCCGACCTTTGAGAGACCAAAATACTGGAAAAACTGTTAAATGCTCATGGCAAGTGGAGATTCAGATAGTGATTGATTAAACAATTCGACATGTGCACGAACAAACCAACATCAATTGGAAGCTTAAGCATTAATCCTAGCACCATGCCAGATGCCGCCGCAAGTGATCATCAACAACAGAAAGGTCGTGGTGGAACGGCATAATCAGATCCTGACAAAATACCCAAGAGAAAGAGCCTTGCGGAATTGATGGAAGCATCGGATCGGCTGCGGTCGTGAACCTTGAGGATCAACATGCTCATAGCCAGATGGGTAATCATTATATGTCCACCGTATATGCGGCGGAAATTCGAGCCATTGAGATGGCACTCGCGATGGTTCTGGAAAGTACGGAACCATGGGCTGAGCAGGCGAGGAATGGGACAGGACATGGGCCAACGAAACGATCCATCGACCGACGAAACGTTTGATTGAAGCACCAGCAAGGAAGATGCTTGAATACTGGTCTTTTTCCCTAAGACGAACCTTGCATAGAATATCTATGAAAGAAATGGCAAGCCTATAGGCTATTGAACCCTCTAAACTACATTATTAAAAGGACAGAAGCTGCTCTAATGTTGGCCCAGCAAATTCAACTCATGTTACACAAAGATTGCCAACTGAACGCTATGCAGAAAGGTCGGATTCGCACAGTAAATTTAATATCCAGTTCAGCTGGCCGGCAGAATCTTGGCCGGAGCCTCGACTTTGAAGTTTGCGCATATCATTGGAAATGGGTATAGCTTGGGTTTGAGTACGGTGAATTCGGCCCGGAGTATTTGGGCTCAGTGTTATTCCCCTTCGTTTGGGAGCCTTCTGGTCTGTCGCCCACCCCGTGGTCTCCATCACGCACCATTCCCATGGAATTTGGTTGATCATTCTCGGCAGGCTTCTCTGAGTGCCGAGGGACGTTGACCTTCAGCACCAAGGGGCTCGATTGGCTCAAATTCGAAGGGTTTTCCGGCATTCCACACTGTACTTAGATTCCCATTCGCTTAGCCTGCAGCCTTAGAGAATTGACAGTAAGCTGATTCCCAGTGGAATTCCAGTAATCGTCCGCTATCCTAGGTCAGGACATATGACATCAGCCACGCATAAAGTTCGCCTATGCTTTTTTTTTTCTGCCCTGGTCCAGCGGTCGCGAGGCTGTGAGGGAAGCACACATTTCCCCCCGGTAGTTGCGCAAATATGTTCTCTCTCAGATGCAGAGGGGGCTTTGGACGGCGTTATTTGCGGAGTTTGCGCTAGTCGGGTAGGCGGTGGAGTTTGTGGTCCATCAATTGGCAAGGTCCAATCCATATTACCCCCGAATTCCCAACTGAAGATCCAACAGATGGAAGCCGTGAAGACATGACCGGTCAACAGGCTCCAGGGAGGATGGTACGATCCCGCTCGGACCCGAGAGATATAATCGTAATAATAAGTTGATTCGAAGA